GCTGCCCCAAATTCCTGACATTGCTCAAGCAAGCCACAGGAGCAGGAACTAAGAGATCCTGTCTTCCGATCCTTTTTGTAACGGCACTGCCTTTGTTTTCCTAGGGGGGGAAAAAAAAATCAATTTCTCAATTTCTCACCTCTGTTTTCCTGATCAGAGGAACGTGAGTTTAAATCTCAGCTCCCAAGGGAGAGGGATTTGTTAATCTGACAATATGCTATCCAAACACTAAGAGTTTAACGAACAGTTGCTCCAAGATGAGCACACGGACTTTATTTCATTTACAATGATTCAATTAGCAGTCATCTAAGGAATGCTGAAAATTTGCTGGGTGTGAATACACTGGCTCACAGAGATTTGTTGTCCTTAATCCAGATGTGACCCTGGCAAGCAGAGATGTGCAAAAAAAACCCCTCCATACACACCTAGTCCAGCCAAGGTGAGGGGCACTGCTCATCCAGCACTTGGCTGGACAACAGCCTGCATCCATCACCTGAGAGAAGATAAATGCTACTGTCATCCAGGCTCCTGTGCTCCATCCATCACTGCTCAGACAGGTTGGCTTTTTTTTTATTGGTTTGTTTGGGGTTGTTTTTGTTTAAAAAAAAAGATGGATATTAAAACTCACCTACCAAACCACCTGACAGTGAGAACTATCAGACATGGCACACCAAAGAAACACTGATTTGATCCTGACAGAGTCCTGTGAATAGGTTTGGTCTCCCCCAACAGAAAGATGATCCTACAAGGCATCCCAAAAGCATCCTCTACCCTACACAGTCCCTCTGAGCCCGCAGGGAGGTTCTACAGCACAGACACCTCCACACTGAGCACAGCCCAAAGGCCACCACCACCCTGCTCCCCTGCCCTTGGCTTTTCTGCCTGGAGAACAACTGAGTCCAGTTTCCAGAAGATTCTGCCTTGGATATTACCCAGCTAGGGAGGCAGAACTCAAAGTGGCTATAAAATGCATTTCAGAACGGAGGGAAGGAGGAGTAATTTTATCATGTCTTCAGAGTGATTTGGAAATAGCATCCCCCACATCTGGGAAGCAAAGTGCCTTAAAAAAGGCCCTGGAGCAGAGAACACGTCTTCTCTGTGTGAAGGGCTGTGGCTGTAGATAGCACTCATTGCTTTATCAAATATTACTGCTTGGCTGTCTGCAGAAAACAGGCACCCACTCATTTGTCACGGTCCTGAGTCACAGAACTTTGACTGAAGGACTCCCTGAGCTCAGTGTGTTTTCCTGTTTCCAAACTGTGCTCCCAGTTCCGGGTCAGTCTGTAATGTTTAACAGATCTGCCACACCAGCTCTGGCACGGACACAGGGTTCTCTCCAGCCAGCCTCCCAACAAAGAGACGAGACGTTTGTGGGAATACTCGTTGTGGAACAGGTCCTGCAGACACACAGCTCGAGCTGGGTGCAAGGGTTTGGACAAACACTGCCCTGAAACAAGAGCTGGTGGGAGCCGCTCTTGCTTGTTTCCCAGACTGTCTTTGCTTTGCTGTGTGTGGGCAGCTCTGTCCTGCAAAGTCTGCATCACATCCTGCTCACATCCATCACCTGATGTTTGTGGCTGTGGTTTGCCCTTTGATTCGCATTTAGACAAAAGTGGTTGAACTGGGCAGTGAAGTCACGTCATTTTAGGGAATTTGAGCAGCTGCTCAGTTCGTGCCAAACACTAGTTAGTGCTCTGTTCCTCCCTGCCCTACCCACTGGGTCCCAGCATGGTTTGCCATTTACCTCACTAAGCTACAGCTCCTCTACAGAGAGCACCCAGGCACCATGCCCTGTGCAGGCATTTCGTGAGCACACAGGAAGGACTCAATTTGGTCACTGCAGAGCAACTTTGCAAATTAAAGCAGAATTCAGTGCAGGAGAGCAGGTCCTGTGCCTTGGGTGCACAACTTGGGGGAGTAAAGAAAGATTTGGTACCAGCCCTGCCCTGTACACTGAGCAGGAGCTGGGAGAGGTGCAGGGAAGGAGCAAAGTGCAAGCAGCAAAGAGCACCCTGTGTCTGCCCCAGTTCAGTGCCAGCCAGGACCAGCCCTGGATCAGGAAGAGCAGGTTAGCCCCCTTGCTGGGAGCAGGACCCTCACCCGTTGGCTATGCCAAGAAAGGCTGAGGAGACCTGGGTAAGGCCCAGCCTATATCACTTATTGACACTATTACCAACATCTCTCCTGCACAGAGAAGCTTTTGACCAATACAGGTCCTCTAATTTGCCATCTTATTTCCTGCCTGATTTCAGCAAGCTGTGGAAGAGGTTCTGCTCTCAGACCATTGTGCACTGTCTTTCCTTAACCTTATCTAACAAATCAATTCCCCAAGCTCAAGAGTGAGACACTTAAAGATTTTACTCACCAGGAAAGTCTCACCAGAGCAGAGGCAGGGGGACCGTTAGGCTTCCCAGAGGCTTTTATTGTCTCATTAAGCTCTCCTTAATGAGACCTTCCTCACCTGCTGCAGTCTCCCTCCCATTCATTTGTATTCACTATCCTGCTGCTGGTACTTTCAAGGCTTAGTTCCCACTCCTTCCTCTCTCTTTCCTCTGAACTATTCTGAGCCCAGTTTCTATCTCCATGCTCCCATCCGGGTCCCAGGGAGAAAACACTTTCTCCTCTTGAGTTACCGCTTGCCATGTCCTCCTCGGCTGGTTTCCTCCCTGATACCTCTGCAGCTTCTCCCAGCTCCAGAGTCACCTGCAATAGTCTCTCCTCCAAAGCAAGGCAGCAACAGCTCCTGGTGAAATCCCTGGCTTAGATGCTTGCTAAAAACTTGCTTTTCTCCCAGCTAAGGCTCTCCATGCACAGCTTGAACCCCCACACCTCAGTGGCTCTGCCCGAACCCCGCGCGCTCCAGTGGCTCCGCACGTCCCAGCCCACTGTTTGTAGGAGCAGGGCTGTCGGATCAGCCCCTCCGTGGGACCAATGAGGGCCTCACACCAGCAGGGCAGCGGGTTCAGCACCTTTCTCAATGACTGCAAATACTGGGGGGGGTTCAGGCTGTTCCACCCACCCCGTGGCATCTGAAAGAGCCTTGAGAGCAAAGCTGCGTCAGAAGGGGGCACAGCTGCCAAAGCGGCCGCTCAGCCTCCTTGGATTGCTGGTTGGAGAATTCCTCCCCCTTTTATTTCATTCAGGCTTTTCTAGACAAGCATATGGCAAATGCGAGTATCAGAGAGAATGAACAGCCTGCCTCCTAGTCGGGAATGAGGGACTACCACAATTATCCCTGTGATAAAGAGGTAGTCTGAACATGAGGGAACTCAATACAACAGGAGATTTATCTTGAAAGAAGTCCCTTGGCAGCCTGGCCCATATTCTGTCAGCACGGTTTCCCATTGCACAAAGGGCAGGGATCAGACCGGGGATGACAGATCCACCTCTGTGTCAAGCACATCCTGCTCCATAGCTTAGTTACCTACTACTATTCCAGTGGCAATTCCTTGGATCACCCAGACACTCTCCTTCATTCAAATCATGTTGTCCCTTGGGAAACTTTACACACCTTAGATTTCTAAATGACCCAGAAAATTGCTTTCTTCCCTACCACAGACCAGGTCAACACTTTAAAACCTGAGTCTCGAGGCTGCCAGGATGAGGAGAGAGGCATGACAGGAGTCTGAGGTCTTGGTCCAGCACTCGTGGAGTCTCTTGTCACAAGGAATTACGTGGGATCTGCAAACAGATAAGGAAAACCAGAAAGAGCAAACGCAGGTCTGCACAACCTTGACACGGCAATCGATGCTGTAGTTCACCACAGGAGCAAGTAAATAGCCCTGGAGTTACGTGCTGCATAGCAAACATTGCAGTTTTATCTGGATGACAGGCAGCAATTTGTGGCAAAGGGTAAATCTCTCTGTTCACTCAAGCTTGACATATGGATGGTCATGTTACATTCCCTGTTCTCAGCGGGTTTGTGCATGAATTTAAGGTTAAGTACATGTGTGCCTTTAGGATCACGACCTTCATTCAATATTGCATGGCCCAGCAGACCCATAATTAATCCCCAGCATGTCCAAGTGACAGCTCTCACTCGGTAACGTCATCCATGCAGAACAGTGAGGCACATGTAAATTCATATATTCCGGCTGGGAGTCAGAGATTTTCCAGCCATCAGAGCAGCAAGGCTCCAAGGCAGATTTCTGACAGGATGAACAGGACAATTGGTGGCTTGGGCTGTTTTACAGGTGAATTGGGCACAGCAGGAGAGGGGGGTGTGATACCCTGAGGAGGGTGGGCTGGGAATGACAACACCTCAACACTACCGTTCCTTGTTACGTGACCAACATTTTCTACTCACAAAAATTTAAGAGTTTCAGAAGCTGATGAAGCCTGGGAAGAAAACCTCCACCATCTTCCTCCAGGGAAATTTGCAAATGTGAAATTTGACCAGACTCAGCTCTGCTACTTGCTCTTCTTTCTCTTCCAAGTCACTGTTTTTCAAATGTACCCAAAGGTCTGAAGCCTAACAATAAGCCATAGGCAGGGTCTGGCAATCAGATCCATGTAGTCCAAGTGCCCCAGGCAAGTCCTCACACCCAGGTCGTGTCCTGCTTGCTTCACTCAAGACAGCTGCTGCTAATGCCAGTGGTTTGTTTCCAAGGTCTGGGTATTTAATTTTTTTTATCTAGTTGTTCTATTACCAAAGATAAACCTGCTCAGTCAGGTTGGATCAACACGTTTTATCCCACAGGCAACACAACAGGCTGGGTAAGTTTTACAGAAATTTATTGGGGTTTAATGTTCATTCACCAACAGCACAAAATATCAGATCCCTGCTATTTAAGGGCTGGAAACATGTCAAACACAAGCACAAACCATCATCAGGCATTGAAATGGGCTGCCCAGAGAGGTGGTGGATTCACCATCCCTGGAGATTTTTAAACGCAGATTGGACGTGGCACTGAGTGCCATGATCTAGTAAATGGACTGGATTTGGACCAAGGGTTGGACTCGATGATCTCGGAGGTCTTTTCCAACCCAATCGATTCTATGATTCTATGATTCTATGATTGCTCAGAAATAGTTATGCTGTACATCAAACCTGAGTAACAGGAGCACAACCACTGATTTGTCCTTCCTGGGGAGAGAAAAGATGAGTGTCTTACAAAAAATACACAGAGACATTGCATTTAATCCTGTTTCTTTGAAAGATGCATGAACAAGAGTCAAAAGGCACAAGGAGTAAAATGCTGCTACTTTAACCCACCTTGCTGCAGCTCCAGAGAGTTCTTTCACTTCCATTGTGTCACAGTATGTTTGAGATACTCCCAAGACACCAAATTATACCTTGCACAGCCCTTCACAGCCCCCAGTCCTGCCATTAGAGCTCTGAAATAAGGGAAACTGCAGAGAAACACTCAGAGCCTCGGGACCTCCGCTTCCGAAGCAGACCTGGACTTCCTCCGGCTGCTCAGGCTGCCCAGGACCGACTCCTCGCTGAAGGCCCCTTCGAAGGTGGACAGGATGGACTGGCGAAACTTCTCCTTGAAATCCGTCCCCACGAAGACATACAGGATGGGGTTGATGCAGCTGTTGAAGAAAGCAAGGCTGGAAACCAAGGGGATCCCTATGAAAAGGGCCAGTTTCATCTCATGGCTGGAAGAGTTTTTGGATATCTCCAGTAAGGAGAAGACGTGATAGGGGAAATAACAGAGGAAAAATGAGACTGTGACAGCAATGATGATTCTGTAGGGTTTTGCAGAGCTGGCCAACTGCCTTCTTTTCAGCCTGACAGCAACGATGCTGTAGCAGATGAGAATCACCAGGAAAGGGACGAGGAACCCGCACAGGAAGCGCGTTACGATCATGGCTTTGTGCCGCACCCTCCACAGCCTCTGTGTTGCCTCGGACGAGTAGTCGTCAGACAGTGCGAAGTTGTTATAGCAGCTGGTGACATTCCTGGAACTGACCACAGTGTCCCGAAAGACCAGGTAAGGGGAGCTGAGAAGCAGAGCCAGGACCCACGTTCCCAGTGCGATCCTGGCCGCCAGCTCCGGGCTCCGGTGGTTGTGAGACCAGACGGGAAAGGCCACGGAGACGCAGCGGTCGATGCTGATGACGGTCAGGAGGAAGACGCTGGCAAACATGTTGAGGAAGGCGATGGTGCTGTTCAGCTTGCACAGCAGCTTCCCAAACGGCCAGTGGAAGCCCAGGGCAGTGTAGGCGATGCTGAGGGGCAGGAAAAAGGTGAAGATGAAGTCAGCAATGGCCAGGTTGAGGAACCAGATGGAGTTCACCGTCTTCTTCATCTTGAAGCCTGTGATCCAGATGACAAGGCCATTCCCCGTCACTCCCAACACACAGGCGATGCCGTACACCACCATGGACAGCATGTGCATGGTCTTCTGGAGCCCGGAGTAGTAGTCCTGGTCAGTGGCATTCTCAGGCAGCTCAGTGGGGCAGCTGGCAGGGAAGGGGGAAGGGGAAGAGGAGACACTGTCCATCGCTCCAAGCCAAGACCTGAAATCACAACAGCACATGGCGCTGTTATCTGTGGCTCCTGCAGTGCAGGAGAGGTGGAAATCTTTGTGAGCAACCCTGCACAAAATGTGTGTGCAGAGCCAGATTAGATAAATTAATATATCATTAATATAAAGTCCTTCTCTATAGCATCTGCAGTTGCATCTCACACAAACCACCACAACCAGAGAAACAACCCCAGTTCTGGTGTTGGTGCTCTCAGAGGAACACCTCCATCAACAGCCCACAGCAGCAATCCACATGGGATTGCTGGAATCCCACGGAAACCCAGATCCCCCCGCCTTGACAAGTTGTCTTTGGATGACCAGTGACAAATCAAGACAGCAAAACCCATCTAGACTGGCAACAATTATGTTAACAGACCATTTCTTCACCAAGTGCCCACCAAGGAGGTGCACTCTGAGAGCACACCACCACCGGAGCTGTATCCAGGTGTAATCCTCAACCAACCAACACCCTCTCAGGGAGCTGCCCCACTCTCCTCGCCCCTCCTGCTCACCCAGCTCGGCAGGTCCTGGCAGGACTCACCCTGGTGCTGTGTTCCTTGGCCGCTCTGCCCACAGCGGGTGGTCTCACCGCCTGGCTGACTCCCCTTCTGCTGCTCCTCTCCAGAGTGACTCACACTGCCTTCCCATGGCTTGGGATCACGAGGAATTTAGTAGGATCACTTATTCCCTAATCTTGTTCCTCAATTTGTGGTGTGTTGATTTAACTCCTGAATCCCCAGCAGCCACACATTCCCTCGATCTGGTTGGCCAAGCCCATCCAACTAACTTGGACTTGAAGAACGAAGGAAGCATGGCCTCTCTCGTGCCTGTGCCACTCATCCCCCAGGCAGCTCCCTCCCTCCCGAGCACCTGGATATCACTCTGGGCACCGGGGCTGCCCTGCCACGGTGGGGGGACAGGGCCAGCTCTGCTACCCACGACAGTGGCCCCATGCCCAGCCCCTGCCGTGGCCTGGCACACCGGCTTGGTCTAAAGGAGGGGGGCTTTGGGAGTGGCCGGAACTGCTCCCTGCCCGGTGTAGGGTGGGGGGAGCTCCCGACTTATGGGGGAAGCGAGAGGCATCCCTGGATCGCGGGACACCCCAGGGCTGAGGGAGAGGCACCTCAGGGTGCACGGCAGGCAGGGCTGGAGCTGTGGGTGACAGGAGGGGTGACAGGAGAGGTGACCCCCACGCTCCCCCGCCCGTCCCCCCCCGTCCCTCCCAAGGTCACCCGCGCCCCGGGCGCCACGTGTGGACCCCCCGCTGGTCCCCGCCCCCGGCGCGGGCCAATGGGGTGCGGGGAGGGGGAGGAGCGCGGCGCTGATTGGCCCAGGCGCTTCCGGAGCGCCGCCGTGCCTGGCGGAGGGCGATGCTGATTGGCCCAGGCGCGGGGGGGGTGGGGCCGGGCGGGCTATGGTAGCGAGCGCGCGGGCTCTAGTGCGGCAGGGTTCGGGATCGGGACTGGGTTCGGGATAGGAACCGGGATCGGGATCGGTGCGGCGGCGGTAGGAGCCGTGTGGGGCAGGGGAGGGAGGGCAAGAGTGAGAGCCGGGCAGGCAGCGCCGCTCTCCGGGTCAGTGCAAGGTGGGCGCGTCACCAGGAGCCGCTCGGGGATGTGGGAGGAGATAGAGCCGGGATGCAGGAGGTGCAGAGCCAGGGGGGGATGGAGCTTCAGGGCTGGGGTCCACCCCTGCAGCAGCTGAGCTGCCAGGGCTGGACTGGGGTCCAGCACGAGGGTGGGCATGGGGCTCTCATCTTGACTGGGGAATAGGAGGTCTGTACCCCTCGAGCCTTCTATGGGTTTGCCAAAAGCAGGGGGTGCTGTAACATGCACTGGGGGGACAGGCAGGACCCAGCCATCCTGCTCGGGGCCAGAGCAGTGCACTCTGCCCTTCCATTCGCAGCCCTTTCCCCAGCAAAGCCCCTCTGGCAGTGGGGATTCCCACCCTGCCAGTGCAGCCCCGGGCTGGATTGCAGCCAAGCATCCCTGCCCAGTGAGGGCAGCACAGCAGGCCCACAGCGAATGGACTTCGGCAGCTTGGCACAAGGAAACCATGTGGAATTGCTTAATAACCTGCTCATGGCCCTTCGATGTCCTTGCGGGGTTAATAAGTAAAAAGATCCATTGTTTTCTGCCAAGGCAGCAGCTGGGCTGTTATTCCTCCCTGGGAGCAGCAGTGGCATCGACCAGGCCAGAGGGCTGCCAGGCCTGGGCATGACGTGGAGCCAAGCAGAGGCGGAGCTTGTGTGTTTCCTTCACCCAACAGCCCATGGCTGGTCCCTCTGGGTTCCCGGGGAAGATGTGGGATGGGAGCAGGCAGGACATGGGGACCAGCCCCACTGCCATCCCACAGATCCCACAGACTCCCCTCTCCACTGGCAGGTGACTCAGCCCCAGCAGGAACATGGCAAACTCAACACAGGGCCTCCCCACCGCTGAGCTCTGGGCCTCCCATAACAAGATGGTGATGGAGCCACTTGACACCAACGACCCGGAGGTGAGACCCCCTTCTGGAGCCTGCCCAGCCAGGGATGCTGGGGATGCTGAACTCCTTGGGCCAGGGACGTGCCAAGGTCCAAGGCTGAGCTGCTGGAACCCATCCATCCTCTGTGCCCTGTCTGTGGGATCAGCTGCACCAAGAAGGGATCTTGTCTCCCTTCAGCACCTTTCCAGGCCCCTCTCCATGCCCTGTCCCCTCCAAGGGTGCAGACCTTATGGTGGAGAACCCATGTCTCCATGAGAGCTGTCAGGGGTGAAGCTGTTTCTCCCCTCTCCCAAAGGTGCACAGCATCATCAAGAAGGAGAAGCAGCGGCAGAGGCTGGGGCTGGAGTTGATTGCGTCGGAGAACTTTGCGAGCCGAGCGGTCCTGGAGGCCCTGGGATCCTGCATGAACAACAAATACTCCGAGGGTTACCCGGGACAGAGGTACAGGGCTGGGCCGAGTCCCACCAACCTAAACTCTGACAGGGAGGGGGAGGGACCACCCACCCTGCCAGGCATCACCTCTGGGAAGGAGGTGATGTCTGTGTGCTGGCAGCCAAGCTCTTCCAGGGCAGGATCTGACCCTCTTGGCTTCTATCCTTGGCCACATGTGGGACAATCTCAGTAGGGTCAAGAGTGCTGTGGCTGCCACAAACAGGGCACCACCCCAGGTTCTCCCCATCTTGGTCACAGGGACTGTTCTGGGTAAGGAGTTTGGTTTTACTCCCTGCCCCATCCTTCACCACAGATACTACGGCGGGACGGAGTTCGTGGATGAGCTGGAAAGTCTGTGCCAGAAGCGAGCCCTGGAGGCCTACCGGCTCGACCCCCAGAAGTGGGGTGTCAATGTCCAGCCCTACTCAGGTAACAGGGTGCTCAGCAGAGCCAGGACAGTTGCCCTGGTCTCTGTGTGCCCCAGCACTCACAGCCACGTGGTGGGCTCTCGCTGCAGGGTCACCCGCAAACTTTGCGGTGTACACGGCCCTGGTGGAGCCCCACGGCAGGATCATGGGGCTGGACCTGCCCGACGGAGGCCACCTCACCCACGGGTTCATGACAGACAAGAAGAAGATCTCTGCCACCTCTGTCTTCTTTGAGTCCATGCCCTACAAGGTACAGGGAGCTGCTCCAGCTGCAGCCAGGATGTGGCCATCATAAGTGTTGGTGCCCCTTAAAGTTAAACGTTCTGGCATGGGGCTCCCGGCACTGCGTCCTGCAGGACAGCAGGGCAGCTGGTCTTCACCACACCAAGGGGGCTGAGCCCTCCTCTTCCTCTCCCAGGTCAACCCCAAGACTGGTTACATTGACTACGACGAGCTGGAGAAGAACGCCCGGCTCTTCCACCCCAAGCTGATCATAGCAGGTAAGGGCACACCTGTACCGACCTCCCTGCTGACACACCTGGCTGGGGGTGGCTCCCAGAATCCAGTAGCACTCCAGTAATCCCATGGATGCTGCAGTGCCAGGAGGAGACCTCCAACACATCCACCCTGTGTGCTGCCCCAGCTGCAGGGCTGGAGCCGGGGCTGTCCAATTCCTGGTGCATCTGCTCCTGCCTCCTCCTCATCCCACCCCCCTGCAGGTGTCAGCTGCTACTCCCGAAACCTGGACTACGCCCGCATGCGGAAGATTGCAGATGCCAACGGCGCCTACCTGATGGCCGACATGGCCCACATCAGCGGGCTGGTGGCCGCCGGCGTGGTGCCCTCGCCCTTCGACCACTGCGACGTCGTCTCCACCACCACCCACAAGACCCTGCGGGGCTGCAGGGCCGGCATGATCTTCTACCGCAAAGGTGTCCAGTCTGGCTGTGCTGCCGGGAGAAACGCTGCCCTCAGGCTGGGGGGTGCAAGTTAACGCTCCTTCCCGCTCTAGGTGGGAAGGAGGGAGGGAAGAAAGATCCTGGGAACATCTGGGGAGCTTCCCTGGGCTGACCCTGGCTCAGATTTGAAGAGGAGCAGCCACCATACCCACTCTGAGTGGCTGGGGGTGAAAGCAGCTCGTGGGAGGGAGAAGGGTGGCCGTGCTGCCTGATGAGTGACCCTGCCTTCCTCTCCCGCAGGCACCCGCAGTGTGGACCCCAAGACGGGCAAGGAGACACTCTACAACCTGGAGAGCCTCATCAACCAGGCTGTCTTCCCGGGGCTGCAGGGAGGCCCACACAACCACGCCATTGCAGGTATGCACACAGCTCCAGCGTGGCAAAGGTGTCCTGGCAGGGCTCTGACCCCCGGCAACAGCCTGGACATACCACGGCAAAGGGCAGCCGGGTGATCTGTCATTGCCCGAGGAGTGACCAGGCTTGTCTGTCCTCCATTTTGGCTCCTGGCGATGTCCCCATATCCAGCCTGGATATGGGGAAGGAAGGGACTGTCCATCAGTTTGCTCAGCTTCCGGGATGACTTGTGCTGGCATCCCCCAAAAGCTCACCCCAGCCTCCTCCCACCACAGGGATTGCCGTGGCACTGCGCCAGGCCATGACCCCTGAGTTCAAGGCTTACCAGCAGCAGGTGGTGGCCAATTGCAAGGCCCTCTCATCGGCGCTGATGGAGATGGGCTACGACATTGTCACAGGTGAGGAGGGGTCTCGGCAGTGGGATGGGGTCCGAGCCAGGCCAGGAGGGCACAACGGGCAGAGCTCTGCAAGCATGATTCCTCAGGACATCCACAAACCTGTTCTGAAGCAGCCCCAGTTCCCAAGGTCAGGCCCCCTTTAGCCCCCCACGCTGGGGGCAGGCCCTGGTGCAATCCCAAGCCTCTTAGCTGATGTTTCCTGTGGGAGCAGCATTTCCCCAGTCCCACATCCCCACCAAACCCCTCTCCTTGCAGGGGGCTCTGACAACCACCTGATCCTCCTGGACCTGCGCAACAGAGGCACAGACGGCGGCCGGGCCGAGCGGGTGCTGGAGATCTGCTCCATCGCCTGCAACAAGAACACCTGCCCCGGTGAGGGATCCCACCAGCTCTGCCGCGTCCTGCCCCACATGCTGGGGATCTCCCGTGGCCTGTGCAGAGCTTCCCACAGAGCTCCCAGCTCTCAGTCCACCCCGGACGCTGGGAACCAGGCTGAAATGCCACAGGTGGTGGTTTCGGTGCGGGGTTTGGTCACGTGTGCCCTGTCCTGGTGCAGGTGATGTCAGTGCCCTGCGCCCCAGCGGGCTGCGGTTCGGGACACCCGCTCTCACCTCCCGCGGCTTCCGGCAGGACGATTTCCGCAAGGTGGCTCAGTACATCCACAGAGGTGAGCAGGGCTGGGATTCAGCTCCAGCAGCATCCTGGGCCAGGGCAGCTCCCCTGGATGAGGAGGCGCTGGCTGGCAAGGGAGCACACCCACAAGTGAGGAATAACCATCCCACCTGCACATCTAGATGTGGGAGAGGACATGTGGCCACAGCTGGGACCGGCCAAACCCTTCCCTGTCCCTTGCAGTCTTGTCCCAGTTGTCCTCAGGCATCCCACACTGGTTTCCCAGGGCAGCAAGTCCCTCACACGGGAGGGAGGGAGCAGGGCTGTGTCCTGGGGAGCAGCAGGGCTGGGAGAGCCGTGGGATGCAGCAGCTGCGAGGGCTGACCAAGGCACCTCCCACGCTGGCAGGGATCGAGCTGACGCTGCGTGTGCAGAAGGACATGAGCCCCAAGGCCACACTGAAGGAATTCAAGGAGAAACTGGAGGAGGACAAATACCATGTGGAGCTGAAGGCACTGAAGGAAGAGGTGGAAGCCTTTGCAGCCACCTTCCCACTCCCAGGGCTGCCTGTCCTGTAAGGGGAGACACCTGTGCTCTGCTCCCGGAACCTCGGGAGGACCCAGGATCACAACACACTCACACCTCAACACCCCAGTGCCTTCTCCCAGCACCTCCCTGCTGGAACTGCAGCAGCAGCTCATCCTTTGCTTCTTACTCCCCCCTCCCTCCTGTGTGGGGCACAGGGACCCCCTGAGCACAGCCCCTGTAGGGACACCAGCCCTTCACCACTCAGTGTCACCACTGGGACCGAGCACCAGGTGCCACCCAGCTCCCGCTGCCTGTGGGAGCAGCACATGAGGCCAGTCTGTCCACATTCCCTGGACACACTGCCCACAGCAGCCGGAGGGATGGAGGGTCCAGCTGCACAAGAGAACTCACAGCCACTAAAAGCCCCCCTGGTTTCAGCCTCAAGGATTCCCCTTCATCCTATGTGCCTTCCCACCTCTTCTGCAGGCTCTGACAAGGCCAGGCCTTGTCCCTAACATCCCTCCTGGGATTACCCTCCCATCCTAGCCAGAGCCTCTGGTATTTTTCTCAGACCTCTGAGCACAAAGCTTAGGTTGAACCATTTTTTAATAAGCACGGTAAAATTAAGAATTTAACCACAATGTATGACAAGAATTATAAGCTTTAAAAAATACGACCGATTTTTTTTTTTTTTTTGTATTTCAAAAATATCTGAACCCAAATAAATAATTTTTTTTTTTTTTAAAAGTACATTTCTCAGACTAGTCATTTGGTGTTATTAACATCTGTTAAAGTCTTGTGCAGTAACACTTGCAGCACGACACTAAGACATGCTTCTTGGATTTCTCCCGCTCACACTCGCTCTAACTACGGACGCAAGCATTCGGCACGCACAGGCACACACACGGAACTCAACATGCAGGAATAGGATACAGTGCTTTAAAACAAGATGAGAATTCATCACAGCCTCCTGGCAGCCCTCAGAGGCAGCTCCGAGCCCAGCCCCATCCCCGTGCCAGCGGCGGTGCTGCCGGCAGGACTGGGTACCCTGTTTCTGCCTTCCAGTTAAATCCATGTCGGGGAGCAGCAGGCGGTGGGTTTGTGGCCCCTCCGCTATTGGGTGCAATCTGGGGCTCTGACATTGTGCTCTGGGGCAGGTGTTCTCCTGCGGCCTGGGCAGCTCCCTGAATTCCCATCACACCCTGTTACAGGAGCCTTCTCACAGCGCTGCTACGAGCCCGGGGCCTGCCCAGCTCCCCGGAATCCGCAGCGGAATCCACAGTGTGGGGTGTCACCCACCACCAGACCAGGGGACTCTGGGACCCCCCCACTCAATGAAAACCAAAGAACTGGCCTGAGGGCACAGAGCCATCAGCTCCCACCCCTGGAGTGCCTCTCCTACCCCTCCCAACACGGTGAATATTGCTAGAGTATAGGCAGCACCTCCCTGCCAAGGCAAGGCGGCTGTGGAGCTGCCCTGAAGGGATTGCTACCAGATGAAAGGAGATCTGAGCACTGTTCTCTGAGAAATGAAACCTGTGTAGGGTTAAGATCACCTACAGCTATGGCTGACCCTCCTCGGGTGGGAGCTGGAAGCGGCAGGTTAGTGGAGAGCAGAGCAGGGGCTGGCAGTCGGGAGGAGCAGGGAACAGGAGCCCTTCCTCCTGCCCCGGGGGGACTTTGCTCTGATGAATTCTCGGTCAGGTTTAACACCTCCTCTCCCTGGCAGCGAGGAGGGAGCCTGCATGGCCGTGCGGGAGGAGGGGACATGCTGGGCTGGCAGCACTCACGGAAGCAGGCGAGGGCCACGCCAGGGCACCGCTGGCTCTGGCAGATGAAAGGCTGGTGAGGATGGCAGTGCCAGGAACCTGCCCTGCTCCTCGTGGAAGGATGGCTCGGGCAAGCCGACTACACATGTGCCAGGACTCATGGCGGGGGCTGTCAGTGCAAAGGTGGTGACTTGTTGTAAGTCTGTGAATATCAGAAACGGGTGAGGTACCACAGCGAGACGGGGAAAAGTCCTAAAGTGCCGATACAGGGATCTGTACTGTACAGGAGCAGAAGGTCAGGCAGAGGAATCACTGAGGAAAGAAGAATTCAGCCCCCAAGCCCCATTTCTGCCACCGCAAGCAGTGAGGGCAGGCTGGGCTCTGGCTGCACCGAGGTGCCACAGCCAGGTGTAACTCCCACTTTTCCAGTCCAAGCTCAGAGGTTACACCGCCAAGAGGAGGACAAGCACTCCAGGGCATGTTTCTCCACAGCTCCCAGTTGCAGATAACCACTGAGCTCCCATCTGGAATGGGATGATGTCCCAGCCAAGCCCCTGGGGCATCCTCCCAAATCAGAGCTGCTTTGTGGTGCAGAGGTGAAGCAGGTCAGACAGGTGGTAGTGCAAGTATTGCTCAACACAGCCTTGAAAATCAGATACTACAGGTTTGACAGAGGGAGCAATGAGAAGTGAGTTATTTATCAATTTGTGAGCACAGCTGAACACCAGAGGTCGAGACCACTGTGACTAAGAGATGAGCCACCACTAATCATCCTCCCGCTCTGCGCTGTCAGCCTGGAGGAAGATGGTGAGTGAGTCAACAGGAAAAAAGTTCCTCCCTCCCTCCCTCCTCAAACCCAAACAGCACCGGGTTGTTTTTCATCAGGAAACAAGCTCCTGTTCTGACCATAGCTCCAGAGCAGGACACTGGGAGCTTTCGTCTGCCTGGTGGCACCTGCATTACTCATTTGCTGAGATGCCTCTTCCCTCAGGGAGTTTGGGTGCACATGGATCAACACCTTGAGTCACTTCAGGAAGCAGACAATTTGATGGACACAGAGGCCTTTCACCAGCAGACCCAGTTCACATGCGACAGGAGGGCAAAGGTAGGACAGAAAAAGGCTTTAAACGTGCTTTAAGGTGAGCAGACCCAAGAGAGACACACAGCTCACCTTAAGCAAAGGCCACACCACACTGCTTCCAATTCTGACCTTAAAATACCATCGCAAACAACCTCTGGCCTGGGAAATCCCTTTGGAGAGTACCACAAGCTCAACTGGCTCAGCTGAGCCACCAGAAACAGCAATAACGATAAAACCAGCCTTTTTGCACTGTTGGCCTATACCCCAGAGAGCCCTTTCCAGGGGAGAGGAAGAGGTGGCAGCAGTACTGTAGAGCTGGTTCCAGACAACAGCCTCCCCAGGGAGCCTCCCTGCCTTTGGGACACGGGTTTTGGAGCAGTGCAGGTCTCACAGCAAGTCTCAGCGAGGTCTAAGCCACGCTGGGGAACCCCAGGCTGTACACAGAAACTTCCCAGGCTCAGAAGGAAGATCACATTCACTTCCAGCGCTGCCTCACATCGTCACCAAACAGAGGTTTAAGAAAAAGCAACAAACCAAACAACGCATCGGCTCTTGTACAATCTCAGCTGTTCTTGCCCCAAAATCAGTGTTAAAAAGAAATAAAACCAAGATTATCTTTCCTAGCAAGGCTTTTCTGGCTCAGAAGGACCACGGGGGCTGCTACTGCCACATGGCACCGGGCAGAGCAGCCCGGGCTCAGCATCTCCGATGAGACTCCGGAGGGAAGCGCTGCGCCCGGGCACAAAGCTTTCGGCACTGACAGGAACAATCTGCGAGTGTCACCACGGTGGTGGCACATCCTTTATGGCACAGAAGCTTTAAAAGGAGAAGTTCTCAGTATCCAGGCTCAGAGAGCAGTAGTTCTGCCCTGTCCAGAGCCATCCAGGAGCCCCAGGAGAGGTAGTTGTGACACGGCAACGGCTCAGCCAGGAGCGGCACGCAGCAACGCCAGCCTTGTTTTACCACAAAGCACAAACGTCAACTACCCAACAAACAAAAAAAATAAACTATTACAGATACAACGTGGAATCCAGTACATTCATCCCTGATCTCTCCTGAGCACTAGTACCTCACCAGCCAGGCAGCCTGTGCTAACAGCCTGCTGTTTCACAGCGTAGCTCCAGCTGAATCGCATCACTTCCCCATCACAAAAAGCACCTAAAAATGAGGGCACTCACCCTCATTCAGTTCCCTTCTCTCCTTTAAAAGCCACCCCTGACATCACATGCTTTGAGGAATCCCAGTCTCCCTCCAGCCTTCTCAGAGGTCGCCCAGCAAATAGGACGTGACAAATGAACAAGGCACAGTGCTCTACATTCACGGCAGCCGGCGCCTCGGGGCCCAGCGTTAGGGAGTGCTTCCACCTTCCTGATTTTAACAGAGCTGGGGGAAACTGGCAAACACTTCCTGGAAAGATGCACATGTGCCTTCACCATGCTCCCACCCACCCAGGAACAACCTGTCCTGGGAAGTGCCAGGAAACTCAGAAAATGCAGGAAGGGACACCGTCCGCACGGCTGTGCACAGACCTGCAAGCTGCCACTCTGACAGGGAGCTCCGAGCTACACTCACATGACACACCACTGGATTAAAAACTTCACATGGCCTTGACATCTCCCTTCTGGTCTCTGCCCTGGCTCCACGGAAGGGACTGGCAGGGCTCAGGGCTCTGGCAGCAGCGTGCGGAGCACTGTGTTATTTCGGGGGCTGCACACTAGTAAGTGTTGATCCCCGAGACAGCCCACCTCTCTCCATGCCACAATCCCCCCGGGATGCTGCCAGGATCCTCTTTAAAAGCTAACAGTGCCCTTTCTAACGTTTACAGAGTGCCCGATGGTTTATGTGATGGAACACGTACGCTCTTGGCCACAGGGAACACCCAGGAATCGGCTCCCGCAGACACGGATTTCTGCGGAGCAGAGACACAAACCCCTCGGCCCCTTCCCGGCGCGTGAGAGCTACTGCAGACAGCGGCAATGTCAAGCACGGATGAGCTCTGTCAGACTCCGAGCACGCAGGCACACGGCCTGGGCAAGGCTAGATTTTGTACAAAAAGCTGGGGACATAGTCAAATCTGAGCAGGGGGCTCCCCCCTCGCCCCGGTTCCTGAATGTAGTGCAGCTTCAGCAGCTCGGCCAAATACTGCACGATTTTGACATCTTCATTGGCGAGGCCCAGCTGAAGCTTCAGGAAGTTCATCCTGCGGTTCACGACGGATTCCTCCGGTTCCCTTTCGCTGATGGGAAGGTGCAAATGATGGCAGAAGGTGAAGAGGAAGGCTTTAGAGCACAGCTGGGTGAGGATGCTTTGGACGTGCATGTAGTAGGTGCTGCCCCGCTTGATCTGGGTGCGGTGGTCGGCCAGCCGGGCCACCACGGTGCCCTTGTAGAGGGGGCAGCGCAGAGTCTTGCTGTCGGCGTCCAGGATGCTCAGGTAGCGGCTGTACCGGCTCAGGGCGTGCAGAACGTTCACCCCCGCGGGGGACACCGTCCTGGAACAGCAAGGAGAGAGGTCACGGCTGGAGGGAGATGTGTCCGTGCCCTGCATCCCATGAGCTTTCCCTCTAGTTCATGAGCTGGTGTGAGAGCCTCTGTGGGAGAATGAAGTCTAGCGTGGAAGAGAGGGGACAAACAGCCTCTCCAGCCTGCCAGATCCCAAACAAACCTCGATTCCCTGGCCCCCACATGCCCTGATCTGCACTATGTGTGTGCTACTGCATAAACCACCCCACTTAGGGTCAGCTTCCTTCCTCAGCAACACAGACAGGGAGTGATAGGACATCTTTGGTGAACAGACACAAACCCTGCAGCAGCTGGAAGCTTCTGGATGTGACAACAGGGACTCAGAAACCCAAACCAGCCCCCTCT